ATTCCCTCGTCTTGATTTCAGAAGTTTGATGATCTCCATCTCCAATTTCTCAAATGACCCAGGCGAAAAAACCTGATCTTCATTAGCATCAAACGAATTATGACCAACCATTTGATGGAAACCCTCGGACATTTGACCGTGGAAGTACCTACAATTGCTTCCATGCTTACAATACCCCTTGTTGAAGTAATGGCAAGTCTTCACCGGAACTTCTGCAATGCTTTGATACCGAGGATCCATTCTTCCCCCTTGACTGCTCAATGCAGCATCCAAGTAATAATAATCATTTGGGAATCCGGTATTTCCCCCATTAGCATGCTCAAATTGATCCTCTAAGCTCAAGAACTGAGTTTGGCTTTGCAGTTCATGGATGGAATCTGAGTAATTCAAAGGAATGACATCCGAATTATGGTTAGCACTGAGTTGAGGCTCCCAATACGGAGATGAAACACCAAAGTTAGCTGGAGATGGAAACACCATCGAAGAAAATGGAGCAGCCTGCGAGGAAACTTTGGGAATGAGAGGTGAATTCACAGAGGGAGAGATCGGAGTTGATGCCGAATTATGTGCTAATTGTTGCAGACGATGCAGATCAGCTTTCGCTTTGTATATTATATCCTGGATAAATATTTCAGGACTCATGGCTAATTGAGTCATTTGTTGGTCACCAGCACCTTGCAGAAGAAGGTAACCGATTATTTTTGTTGCATTCTCCGGGTCCAATTTCTTGATTCGATTGAGAACAATTTTTGTAGTGTCTGTAAAATCCATATTGCATCTACAGCATATATATCTAAAATCACTGCAATTGAAAAATAAATAAAATGCACAAAAATAAGCCAAACAAATCTAAAAAATTCTCTTTCAATACAAACTATAGTGTGTATATGCATAGATATATAACAGTGAACAAGTGCATCAGACTGATAAAACGAAGTACTCCAAAAAAGTTAAAGTGGTGTTTGGCTAAAGGTGTAGAACTATCCAAGCCCTAAAACTATAATAGATCTAAGAAGAACAAAATCAAGAAACCCACAAGAAATCAAACAAACATGAACCAAAAGGGGGAAAAGAATTCTAGGGTTTTGGTTACATTGTCAGAATTAAGCAGAACCTTAGGATATACCAGAGCCTATATTAGTTAATCAAGGAAATTCTGAAAGATTTCCTTCCAATATAACCCTAAAAAGAGCTGAGAAAATTTCCAGAAATAAACTTTTTTCTTCCTAAATCTGGAAATACAAACTCACTGACATTTAAAGTCTGTAAAAAAAAAATAATAATAATTGGTTCCCAAAATAAAATCATAGATGGACAATATCCTTCTTTTGAACAGAAAATAGTTACTCAGAAAAAAAAAAAAAAAAAAAAAAGCAGAGAGAAAAGCTTACACTGAGAAAAACGTAAAAAAGGCATATAGTTTACACAGTCAGCTACGTAAATACATTAAATTATATTTAAAAAATGAAGAGTTTGAATCTTGCTCAAACTAAAAAATCCCTAATTTTAATCATAGATAAGATAACCAAACCTAATCGAAAAAATCAGAAATAATCTCTTAAGCTTTTTAGATATGGAGGGAATTCATTCAAATAAGCTTAGAAAAATAAAAACCCATATAAAGAAAAAAAAATTTTTTTAAAAAGGCTGACAAAGAAAAGATCCATATGCATACACACACACACACACATATATATATATGCGCTGATAGACACACAGACGTAGATATCTATATCTATATGCACACAGATATGTACCTATCTGCAGATTCTTCTTCTTCAGTCTCGGCAGCAAAAGATAGTCAGAGGAAGCAAAGAAGAAAGCTCAAACTCCATTTTTGATTCCCTCACGAAAGCTTTAAGCTTTTTATTTATCATTATTTGAATTTGCTAAAATTTAAAAAAGAAAACTTCTCAAAAAGCAAACTGACAGAAATGATGCTTTAAAGACCATCCCCACACACACACACTCCTCTTCACTTCATTTCAATACAGCTTAGTTATAATAATAATTAATATAATTTACTCAAATATTTTAAATAAATAAAAAAAAAAAAAGGATTTTCCACTGAACTACATATATGGAGTTTCTGTTTTTGGGGGGTGAAAATTAAAATTACAGAAATTTCAGGCAATATATTTTGCTTAATTTTCGATTTTGATGTAACAGCTTCCAGTGATGGTATTACAGAAATGCCCCTCAAAATAAATTATTATAATAATTCGGAAATACCAAGGTGGTAAATTATGTATATACACAAAACACATGTCGGTACGTTGTGACTGTTGAGTGGCACCAGAGCGACGATTTCCTCCTTGAATCTGGACCGTTGGATTCATATTGTTGTTCACGAAGCGCGAATCTCGAGGGTAGGGACCATTGGGGAGTACATGCACCTCACCAACATGGAAGTGTGGGAAACACTTGTATGTATGTATGTGGACACAAAAGACAAAACTATATAGTATGTCGTAGTCTTGTAGCTAGTGTGACAAAAAATACGTAATTGGTATTTTTGTTCATTTTGGAATTCGACCCAAAATTATAAAAATAAAAAATAATAATTTAATATTTGATGAAAAATCTAAATTTTAAAATATTTGAAGTAAATATTAGACCAAACTTAATTTAGTCTAATTTAGATCTTTTAAAAAAAAATTTAATCGGTCTAATTTTAAAATTTAAATTAAAAATAAATAATTATTACGGTCTAATTTTTAAAATAAATAAATAAATAAATTATAAATAATGGTTCATAATTATTTAGTAAATCAAATTTTAAGCTAATTTAATCTAATAAATTATAATTATGAAATATTATGATATATATTTTTATTGAACACAAAAGACACATATAGTTATTGAATTTTATATATAAACAAATAATTTAATCTTGAAGTTTTGAGAATAGTTGAAATATTATACATGTAATCGACCATATGTCAATTGAATTATTATGTGTTTTTTATATGTATATACATATATGTAATACACGTATATATACAATGATCTCTTATATATATATATATATATATATATTTTTTAGTACATTGAACTAATTTGTCACGTATAATAATTAATAATATATTAATTTACAAAATTTCTAATTTATAATTTTAAATTTTAAATTAATATTTTTTTTTGTTATTCTTAATAACAAAAAAATTACAACTATGATTTTAGTGCATTTACATTATTTTTTACCACAATAAATTTCTCTTGGGAAAATATTAAGGTGGTAATTACAATCATTTCCTTCTTCGAATTGGAGAGGAGGTGGTCCAAGAGGGTAGAATTTTAAATATAATGTTCATAAAAAATATATTAATTTAGGATGAAAGTAAATTATTTTTTTTATTTTAATAGTAATTAAGAGTGACCGTGACCAAAAATATTCT